TGGTATTCTTTTAATCTTGTTAAGAAAAACAAACTCTTCTCTTCCTTGTTCTTTTATTGACATTCAGCTGGGAAGGGAATTCTAGGTGGGTTCTTCTCAGCATGCAAATCTAATTTTTTTTTTTTTTTTAAGAAAGGTTACATTGTGCCACAGCTAGTTAGTGGAATCTGAGGCTCAGAGCCAGGCCTACCTGAAACAAGAGCTCAAGTTCTCAGCCAAACTGTTTGTATTTGTATTCATCAAATAAGATACCATTTGAACAATAACAAAGCCTACAGTGTATCTACATCATGACAACACGTGGGCAAAGTTTAAAATGCAATACTCGTTTTGGTTCAGCTTTTTGCACACTTCTCACATGCTAAGCAAGTTAAGAGGAAAGGATACAAAAGAATATTGTTGGTGGGCACGGTGACTCACTCTCATAATCCCAGCACTTTGAGAGGCCAAGGCAGGTGAATCACTTGAGGTCAGAAGTTTGAGACCGGCCTGGCCAACAAGGAGAACGCTGTCTCTACTAAAGATACAAAAAATTAGCTGGCTGTGGTGGTGGGCACCTGTAATTCCAGCTACTTGGGAGGCTGAGGCAGGAAGATCACTTGAGACCAGGAGGCAGAGGTTGCAGTGAGCTGAGATCGCGCCACTGCACCTCCATCATCCTGTGGGCAACACAGAGAGAGTCCATCTCAAAAAAAAAAAAAATCTATCTATCTATCTGTATCTATAGATATAGATACAGATATAGATATAGATATAGATATTTTTTTCCTTGAGAAGAGAACTGTAATCCTGTTAGGAAAGTGGGCAGTATCCAGCCAACATTTGTTCCATTATGCTCGAGTCTCGGGCTCTGGGCTAGAGTTCTGGATCTCAGGATGCTTGGAAATAGAAAACACAGAAGGCTCCCTTTGAGTCGTGAATGCACTTGTGTATTGCTTGCCCTCTAGAGTACACACATAAACTTTCAATCCTGGCCAGGGTTCCCCTTGAAAGCAAGCCTGAGTTAAGTGTTTGTACATAGCTAGTTTATTTTGGTGAGTGCGTGGTTGCAGAGACTCTGAGAGTTTAACAGGAAATCCAGAAAGTGGATTCTCTTCCAAAAGGAGGGCAAAGCCAATCAGAAGGTGCATTCTCGAGTTGGTTGCTGCTGTGGTCATCGGAGCTCTGTGTGAATCAGGGTTCTTCAGAGAAACAAAACCGTGTGTGTGTGTGTCGGGGGTGGGGAGGTAAATAACTGGCTTATGAGATTATGGAGGCTGGCAAGTTCAAAGTTTGCAGTTGAGGCTGGCAGGCTGGAGACCTAGGAGAGCTGGTGGTGCAGTTGAAATCTGAAGGCACTGTGTTGAATGCTTTCTTGCTCTGGAAGGCTGAGTTGTATTAGGGTTCTGAGAGGAAAAACCAATAGGATATATTGTGAGAGGGGATTTATTAGGGAAATTGGCCCACAAGATGTGGGATGTTAAGTCCCACAATAGGCTGTCTGCAACCCGGAGAACCAGGGAAGAAGCTGGTAGAGTGGCTTAGTCCAAGTCTGAAAGCGTCAGAACCAAGAAAGCTGATGGTGTAGTCCTCAGTCTAAGACCAGAAAGCCTTGTGGGGGTGAGGCCACTAGTGAAAGTTCTGGAGTCCAAAAGCTGGAGAATCTGGAGTCCCAATATCCAAGGGCAGGAGAAGCAGGGTGTCCCAGTTCTGGAAGAAAGAGAGTGAAAATTCGCCCTTCCTCTGCCTTTTGGTCCATCTGGGCCCCAAGCTGATTGGATGGTGCCTGGATTGAGGGTGGATCTTCCCCACCCTCACATGTCCACCAACTCACATGCCAGTCTCCTTGGAAACACCCTCATAGACACACCCAGAAAGACTCCTTTGACAGCTATTTAGGTATCACTTAATCCAGTCAAATTGGCAAACAAAATTAACCATCGCTGTCTTTTTGTTCTATGTGGGCCTTCAGCTGATTGAGGCCCACTCAGACTTTGGTGGGAAATCTGCTTTACCTAAAGTTCACCAGTTTAAATGTAAATCTCACTCAAAAACACCCTCTAAGCTGACGGGTAAAATTAACCATCACAAACTTGATCCTCTGCAGACTCCTTAGGAATGTGCAGAATATGCCTAAGACTGCACCTGGTGGCAGAGAAGGAAGCAGTTACCCACTGGCACTATCTCCGAGTGGAGAGTCACCTGTGGGATGTTAACTCACTTCCTACAGAGGCATGAGTACTCTGCAGGCCCCCACGGGCGTCTCACACAGCAGTGTCAGGGTAACCCTGGGATGGAATACCAGGGGCACACGGAGCAGCTGTGTGGCCAGGAGCATCAGGTGACACCCACAGGAAAGGTGGGGTGAGAGGGTATAAGGCTGGGCATAAGGGAGAGCTAATTTCTTTCAGATGCCTCATTTTTTCCTTAAAACCCTGCTTCTCGGCTCATGCCTGTAATCCCAGCACTTTGGGAGGCTGAGGCAGGTGGATTACCTGAGATCGGGAGGTCGAGACCAGCCTGACCAACATGGAGAAACCCTGTCTCTACTAAAAATACAAAATTAACTGGGTGTGGTGGTGCATGCCTGTAATCCCAGCTACTTGGGAGGCCGGGACAGGAGAATCACTTGAACCTGGGAGGCAGAGGTTGTGGTGAGCCGAGATCGTGCCATTGCACTCCAGCCTGGGCAACAAGAGCAAAACTCCATCTCAAAACAAAAGAAAACAAAAAAAAATCTACCTCTCTATTTTTCTACCAGAGAATTTTAGAGTTGCTGGGTTTTTTTCCACTCATGGGAGGAGAGCTTATTTACATTTTTGTTGTTTGCACAGCAGACATCATCAGTATCTTCTCAACATCTCTTAGCTTGAATGACCCCTATCTGTCCGTTCCCTTCTCTGTGTCCATCTCTCTGTCCTGCACGCTGCAAGCACACCTCATTTTATTGTGCTTTGCTTTATTGCGCTTCACAGATACTGCATTTTTTCCCCCACAAATTGAAGGTTTCTGGCAACCGCGTGTCAAGGAAGTCTCTGAATACCTTTTTTCTAACAGCATGTGCTCACTTTGTGTTTGTGTCACATTTGCTAATTCTCATGATATTTTAAACTTTTTCATTATGATTCATTATGATTTTATCCATTATGGTGATCTGTGATCACTGATCTTTTTTTTTTTCTCTTTTTGAGATAGAGTTTCGCTCTTCTCACCCAGGCTGGAGTGCAATGATGCGATCTTGGCTCACTGCCATCTTTGCTTCCCAGGTTCAAGTGATTCTCCTGCCTCACTCAGCCTTCCAAGGAGCTGGGACAACAGGCGTGTGCCACTACACCTGGCTAATTTTGTATTTTTGGTAGAGATGGGTTTCACCATGTTGGCCAGTCTGTTCTCGAACTCCTGACGTCAAGTGATCCACCAGCCTCAGCCTCCCAAAGTGCTGAGATTACAGGCATAAGCCACCACGCCTGGCCTGTGATCAGTGATTTTTGACCTTTGTTTTATACAGGTATTGATCGACTTACGACCTATGCAATTTATGACCATTCGACTTTATGACCACAATCGCTAGCCACGACTGCTCCGCGTCTGGCAGCGCAAACGTTGCCCAGCTGGGCGTACGACGGTGCGGACCGGCTTCCGGCAGCACTACCATCTCCGCGTGCACCATTTCAACTGTTATCCAGACACGGTACAGCAATTTGTGTTTTGTGTCTTGGATATTTTTCATCAAACCCCTCCCAAGATGTCTACCAAGAGGAAATTGTCTTTGTCTAAGCCTCAGCCTGCCAAGAAGGAAAGAAAGGCCATCGATCTCCACACGAAAATGAAAGTAATTAAGCAGTACGAAGGAGGAAAGAAAGTGAATGTGATCGCACGTGATATGAAATTATCACACTCGACTGTGTCGACAATTTTGAAAGATAAAGAAAGAATTCGCGAAGCTGTGAAAGGTTCTGCACCCATGCGATCAACAGTTATAACAAAGCAACGAAGTGGGCCCATCCATGAAATGGAGAAATTGCTATATATTTGGATGGAAGACCAAATTCAAAAACGGACACCATTAAGTCTTTTTACTGTGCAGATGAAGGCGAGAAGTCTATTTCAGACTCTGAAGGAGCGTGCTGGAGAAGATTACAGTCAAGAATTTGTAGCAAGCACCGGCTGGTTCCAGAGATTCAAGAAAAGATTCCAAATGCACAGTGTTCGAGTGACTGGAGAAGCAGCGAGTGCGGATGAGGAAGGAGCACGTAAGTTTGCTGATAGTCTGGATGAATTAATTACTGATGAGGGATATCTCGCAGAACAGATTTTCAATGTTGATGAACTTACAAATGAAGAGCTAATCAAACTAGAAGAAGAAAGAGTGGCGGAAGAAGAAAGAAGAGAAGCAGAGAAAGAAGAGGAGGAGCCAGAAAGAAAGTTCACCACTAAGGGATTATCAGACGGTTTATCTTTACTGAATAAACTTCTTACACATTTCGAAGCAATGGACCCAAACATTGAACGATTTGCAAGGATTGAACGGATGGCGCACGATGTGTTTCGTCCGTATCGTGAAATTTATGAAGAAAAAAAGAAACATACAATTCAGACAAAGCTCACCATGTTTATGAAAAAACCAACTCCGGTAACCCCAACTGCTGCCTCAGATGACGACATCAACGATGCGCAGCCAAGCACCAGCGGCCAATAAAAGGTTTCATACATGTTTATATATTTTGATATGTTTTGCAATTGGGAAAATGTTTCCAATGGTATTTTTTACACCTGTATTTTGTATTTTTGTATGTTTTGCAAATATGAAGCCAGTTGTACTGGTAATGCAGTGTTTTACTTAAACCTGACGAACGTAAAAATAAGAAACAAAATGGTGTAGAGATGATACAAATGGCATAAAATGAACAAAGAAAATTATGATATATAACAAGAATGAAAGAAAATTATGATAAAATACGACTTAAGGATTTTTATAACATCATTTCACAGTACTGTACATACAGCCTACTCAACTTACAACCAAATCGTGTTACGACCAAATCATGCCACGACCGGTCTGTCGGAACCAATTGTGGTCTGTGGTCGTAAGTCGGGCACTAGCTGTGATTGTTTTGGGCTGCCATGACCCACACCCATAGAAGATGGTGAACCTAATCGATAAATGTGTGTTGTGAGTGCTGCTTCAAACCCTGTTCGTCCGTCTCTCTCCAACTCCTTGGGCCTCCCTCTTCCTGAGACATAACAATATTGAAATTAGACCAATTAATAACGTTACAGTGGACTCTTAAGTGTTTAAATGAAAGGAATAGTTGCACATCTGTGACTTTAGATCAAAAGCTAGAAATGAAAAGCTGAGATAGGACAAAAGCTACGCCTCTCGTGGCAAACAGACAAGCTGTGAATACAAAGGAAAAGTTCTCGAAGGAAATTAAAAGTGCTGCTCCTTTGAACACAGGAATAAGAAAGTAAAACAGCCTTATTGCTGATACGGAGAAAGTCTGAGTGGTCCGGATAGAAAATCGATCAGTCCAGCTACAACATTCCCAAGCCAAAGCCTAGTCCAGAGCAAGGACCTAACTTTTCAATTCCGTGAAAGCTGAGAGAGATGAGGAAGCTACGGAAGAAAAGTTGGAAGCTAGCAGAGGTTGGTTCATCGGGTTTAAGGAAAGAGGCCATGTCTGTAACAAAGTGCAAGACGAAGCAGCACGTTCTGATGCAGAAGCTGCAGCAAGTTATCCAGAAGACCTGGCTGAGCTCTCTGATGCAGGTGGCTACACTAACAACAGATTTTCTTTCTTTGAGACAGGGTCTCACTCTGTTGCCCAGGCCGAAGTGCAGTGGCATGATCACATTTCACTGCAGCCTTGACCTCCTGGGCTCAAGTGAGCCTCCCACTTCAGCCTCCCAAGTAGCTGGGACAAAAGATGTGCACCACCATACCCAGCTAATTTTTATTTTTATATTTTTGTAGGAAAAAGGTCTCACTATGTTACCCAGGATGGTCTCAAACTCCTAGACTCAAGTGATCCTCTTGAGCAGGTAGACCCTGCTGCTGTGCCCTTCCCCTGTTGGCTGGGGTTGGACCTCACAGTCTAAGCTAATTTCAGTTGGCCATTTTAAAGGGAACAGGAGTATGAGCCAGAGTGGTGGGGTGAGCAGTTTGGCAGGAAGGACAGTTACAGAACAGGGAACTAAAGGTGACTCAGGTCAAAGCAGGTGATCAGGGCAGAGCAGATGACCAGGGGAACAGATGTGAGCTACTGATTAGAACTGGTGGAACAGGACGGAGCAGATGACCAGGGGAACAGTATGAGCCATTGGACCCAGCCCAATAAATTTTCAGTATATATGAAACAACCTTATTCTGCAAGAATAGGCTATCTATTAATAGGACTTTCATAGCTAGAAAGGTAAGTCAGTGTTTGGCTTTGAACCCTTATTATATGTAAATGTTTGCTGCCACAAAAGAAGTAGCACTCAAATATAAATGTTCTCAGCAAGGCAATTTACTTCTATAGAAGGGTGCGTCTCACAGATGGAGCAATGGCGAGCGTACACCTGAATAAGAGAGGGGAAGGGGTTCTTATCCCTGACACAGGTAGCCCCTGCTGCTGTGCCATGCCCTCGTTCACTAGGGTTGAACCACCCAGTCTAAGCTAATTCCAACTGGCTATTTTAAAGGGAGCAGGAGTATGGGCCAGAGTGGTGGGGTGAGCAGCTACAGAACAGGGAACTAAAGGTGAGTCAAGTCAGAGCAGGTGACTGGGATGAGTCAGGATGGAGCAGATGACCAGGGGAACAGATGTGAAGTGATTACAACTGGCGGAAAAGGTTTACTGAAACTACAAGAAAGTGAAGCTTTAAAATGGAGGACAAAGAACTGAGCATTACTGACATGCTGATTCTTGTGGTTGTGGTTGTTGTGGTGGTGGTTGTTTTTGAGACAGAGTCTCACTCTGTCACCAGGCTGGAGTGCAATGACATGATCTCAGCTCACTGTAACCTCCACCTCCTGGGTTCAAGCAATTATCTGTCTCAGCCTCCGGAGTAGCTGGGATTATAGGCACCTACCACCATGCCCGGTTAATTTTTGTACTTTTAGTAGAGATGGAGTTTCACTAGCTTGGCCAGGCTGGCTGTGACCTCCTGACCTCATGATACACCTGCATCAGCCTCCCAAAGTGCTGGGATTACAGGTGTAAGTAAGCCACCACACCTAACCTTGACATACTAATTCTTTGAGGAGAAATTTAGAACTCATTGTATCCAACAACTAAGTGGTGGCCTGTACAGGGAGCCATTCTCTGGGCAGTCCTGGGTCTTCTCTTGCGAGCAGACGTGTCCCACTGCCTCACTGTGGCAGCCTCCGGGGTAAGGAATCAAGACCCACAAATCCAGACTCTCAACAACGTGGGAGAAAAAGGCCTACAAATACCGTGGTGACCAGGCAACTCCGCACAGACCAAGGAAACAATGCCGGGAGCTGGTATTTCCTTGGTGGGAACCAAGGGGGCGTGGGGGGAAGGGGAGGGGTAAAGTATTCCTTGGTTGGAACATACCAAGGCAAGAAAAGCTACGGGGGTCAATGAACTATTCCTTGGAGTGGCTTGGAGTGTTAGAAAGAGGGGAGACATCTCCGTTAGGAGGGACTGATCTTCACACAAACCTCCGGTAGTAGAGGACATGAGAAATTTCCAGTAGGGGAAATTGGGTCTCATCCCAAAAGGCGAGAAATTTTTGGTAAGGGAAGTTGAACCTCACCCCAAAACCATCAAGATGGCAAATACCCCAAGTAAGGTAAGAGAGAAAAGAATAAAGCTAGCAGCAATTTTCCCCTAATAGTCCCCTAGGCCTAATGTTAAAATATTAAAATAATAATAAAAGGACCTATAAAATTCATAGAAAGGCTCAAAGAGCAAATGAGAATGTATGCAGGATGTTAAAGCTTCATTTTGTAACTAATAATTGGCCAGATACTATCAGGAAGTTACAAAAGAGAGAGAACTGAAAAGGTAGATGTATATGTAAAAAGAGACGAAGAAAAACAAGCCGAAGGCAAAAATTCCGCAGCAAAGTACCCAGGGGGCCAGAACCTGTGAAGAACCTAGACCCCCACTTTCCAGGCGATATAAAGGGTACAAAAGAGTAACGCAGAGAGGCAGAGAGAGAGAGTCAAAGAGAAAAAGAGGGAGACAGAGTCAGAGAAAGAGAGGGACAGAGAGGCGGAGAGAGAGAAAGAGATGGAGGCAGAGGGAGAAAGCCAGAGGCAGAGGGAGAGAAAGGGCAAAACAAATGTTTCAAATTTAAAATAGGTCACTTCAGAAGAGAATGTCCCAAATGGGAAAAAGAATAAAAGTCGTATATAACAGCAAATCAACTAATGCTAAATTTCCGTTAATTCCAGAGGCAGGAATAAACCTATTAGAGAGACATTTAATGCTAAAATGTGGCTTAGGCCTCTGTATTAATCCGGGAAAATTCCTCCCCTCCCTAAACTTGCTCACCGCTGCAGACAGGGAACACAGCCATCCCGAGATACGGTAAAAAAAACAACAAGAAAAACGAGAACTGAGGAAACGACAGATTCCTTCGATCAGGCTAAATTTAAAGTCCCCAGGAAAATAATAAAAAGAAAGCAATACCCTATTCCTTTAAAAGCCAAGATAAATTTAAAACCTAGAATTGATCATTAAAGGTCTTCTCCGAGATGAACCCTGCATGTCTGTCTCCCTATAACACTCCAATGCTGTCTGTAAAGAAGCCAGACGGGTCATACCAGTTAGTGCAAGACCTTAGAACAGGCGTCCCCAAACTTTTTACACAGGGGGCCAGTTCACTGTCCCTCAGACCGTTGGAGGGCCGCCACATACTGTGCTCCTCTCGCTGACCACCAATGAAAGAGGTGCCCCTTCCTGAAGTGTGGCGGGGGCCGGATAAATGGCCTCAGGGGGCCGCATGCGGCCCGCGGGCCAGGTTGGGGACGGCTGCCTTAGAATTATTGATCAGATAGCCACACAGGCTACCGTTTCTTAGCTGCACAACTGGCCTCCTGTACAGCTAAGTAAAACCTAGGACACCTGGAGTTAAGTGCAGACCTCATCTGCACTCTGTATCGGCCCTAGGCTCTACACCTAGCACATAATTAAAATCCCCAACTTACAAGGTTTTCCACAAAAGTAAAGTTTGATGAAAGTTAACAGTGTAACATGTATTATCCTAAGTTCCAATCTTGTGGCCTTCGGCAGTCTAAGCCACAGACATAAAGAAAGTTCGCTTTGGGGAAAAAAAAAAAACATGGTTCTCATCTTTGACAATAAGAAAAAAGGTGGGTGAGAACTTATATAAATAAGAATTTTATATGGTAAATTCTTGACCTAAGGTAAATTAGCTGGTTGTTTAAAGGGATGTTTACAAGAAGTCTGAAAGTTAAGGCATGTCAAAGGTTAAAAGTTGTGAAAAATGTTATCCAAGAGAATTTATCCATGACATATTGTATAATTTAAAAGTAATTGGCCTCCTAAATGTACAACTATTGAAGAAACAGTTTATAGGCAGGTGTGTAAGGAAAGCAAAATATACTTTTGGTAAAAGGATTATAAGGAGGCATAAGAATGTAAATTTACCTACATTAAAAGGCTAAACAGTTGCTTTAAAGGTTTAAGCAAGTTTTGAAATGTTAATTATAAAGGAAATTCTGTGTCTGTAAACATATTAGCTAAAGTTAAAGGGGTGCCATCCAGTGTTTCTATAAACTGGACATTAAAATAAAAGCAAAACAGGTTTTTCTTAAAGCACTAACCTGTTCTTTAACAAAAAATATAAAGGGTTAAAAAGAGTCTATAAAAATCTTAACTTACGGTCAGACATTAAGATTGGATAAATATGTCTCCAAGATTTTATTAAAATTGAGCTTAACATTCATAGCACACTAATATAAAGGTGAAATTCAGCTTATGTAGTATAAAATCATACAGGAAGCTTTGTCGGATATAAAATGGTGTTTGGCTTTCTTTGGTCTAAAAAACTAACACAAATAGGTGCTAAAGGGAATTCAGAAGGAAAATGGATAGTGCCAGACCAGAAAGAAATGTTATCCAAACGCTTTAGGAGGGAAATCTTGTTCCAGCTGCATCAAGGGACCCACTGGGGGGCCCAGGCCATGTGTACTGCAGTTTTCAAGAGTTTATGGGTATATAGGAATTTATACCCAGGCCAAACAAGTTACAGATAGTTGCTTAGTAGTTAAGAAAACTAATAAGCTATGAAAAGATTACCCCTTGGGGGAAGGAATCCAGGCTTAAGGCCATTCCAAAGCATCCAGATCGATGAGACAGAGATGCCTCCAATTGGTTGCCTCAAGTGTCTTAGTAATCGTAGATCACTTTGCTCAGTAGGTAGAAGTACTCTCTTTTTAAGTACAGCTGCTAATAATGTAGTCAAGACATTAGTTGAAAATATTATTATTATTATTATTATTTGAGACGGAGTTTCGCTGTTGTAATCCAGGCTGGAGTGCAATGGCGTGATCTCGGCTCACTGCAACCTCTGTCTCCTGGGTTCAAGCAATTCTGCCTCAGCCTCCTGAGTAGCTGTGACTACAGGCGTGTGCCACCATGCCCAGCTAATTTTTGTATTTTTAGTAGAGACGGGGTTTCACCATGTTGACCAGGATGGTCTCAATCTCTTGACCTCATGGTCCACCCGTCTCAGCCTCCCAAAGTGCTGGGATTATAGGCGTGAGCCACCGCACCCGGCCAGTTGAAAATATTATACCCAGGTTTAGATTAATTAAAAAAAACATTGATTCAGATAATAGGACTAATTTCACTGCACATGGCATTAAGAAATTAACGCAGGTACTGGCTATAACGTGGGAATGTCATACTCCCTGGCACCCACCTTCATCAGGAAAAGTAGAAAGGCCTATCACCCTGTTGAGAGTCCAAACTGCTCCCCAAAAAGACATGGCCTATCCCCTTATAAGATGCTTATCTACATTCTACCACTGATCTTCTTACACTTGAAAGAAAAGATCAGTTTCTCAGAAATTATATACTCGGTGTATCTTCCACTTTCTCTTCCCTCAGAACTAAGAGGTCTTTCAGCGCAGCTGCCACCCCTAGAGCTTCCAGTACACCAGCATCAGCTTGGGGACCATGTCCTCATCCAAAGCTGGAGAGAAGGAAAAGCTCGAAGCAGCCTGGGAAGGACCTTACCTAGTTTTCCTAACTACTGAAACCGCAGACCAGACAGAAAGAGGGTGGACTCATCACACCCAAGTCGAGAAAGCTCTGCCCACTCTGGAGTCATGGGCCATAGTCCCGGGGGGAAACCCTGCCAAACTAAAGCTAAGAAAAGTTTAACCGGCCCTCGTTTATTTTATTACTCCTTCCTTCCGTGTTCTACTGCTGACCACCTCATTATTAATGTAACCAGGTCACCTTTTCCTCCAACGATCACATTTGATGCCTGTCTCACCACACCTTGTGGAGCTCTCCAAAACCGAAAGCAACTGGCCTCCTCAGAAAAATATATGTCCTTCCAAAATAACTTCTGACCTCCACGACCCTTGCATCATAGAAACCAAGCCCCCAACATTTCTCGAATTTTGGGAACTAAGGTCGACTTTCCAGGATGGTACTGTCCCTCCTGGGACGATGTCCAATGGGCCACTGAGGAGAAGGGTGGACTTACTCAAAGGGCTTCACCTCTCCAAAACCATACGTCCGTTTTACCCAAGAAAGCGTTCCTTCTAATTGTCAACGGTATCAGTGCGATCCAGTGCAGCTCTCTATTCTTATCTCTACTAGACTCTGCCAGTCCTGACCCACTTAGGTCCCTTCTGTGGCACAGGAGCCAACTTGCTGGCACAGACCTCAAAGGATCTTTGGAAATGCATTTTATTAACCCCTCATCCTCTTCACCCCCTTCCTTCTCTTCTCCTTTTGGACTTTCTCATCAAACTGTCATTCTTCCATACCCAGTGATAGGACCAAAGTGGATGTTGTGGAAGTAAATGATTTAAAACCAGCTTTAGCAATAGAGACAGGATATCAAGATGCAAATGCCTGGTTGGAATGAATCAAATATTCCATCTCTACATTAAACAAAAGCGATTGTTATACTTGTGTGCACGGCTGACCAGAGGCCCAGATGCTCCCTTTTCACTAGGACGGTCCTCCAGTCGACCAGACATGGGCCGTATGGTAATTCTTTTCCAGGATTCTACAGCCTGGGGTAACAAGTCATGCCAAGCTCGCTCTCTGCTATATCCCGAAGTGCAATACGCTGCGGGTCAGCCTGCAAGGACCATCCAGCTTCCATCCCTGAACACCAAGTTCACTTCACGTGTCTCACGACAAGGAGGAAACAGCGTTCCTTGGAGACCTGAAGTGATGCAATGAGCTTAAGACTTCTCGAGAGCTTACCAACCAGCCCTTGTTCATCCCCAAGCAGATGTATGGTGGTATTGTGGTGGACTTGACTGTGCTCTGGTCCAATTCGCTATGCCTTTGACCCTGGCATTTCATCAGCCAGAGAAAGGAAAAACACAGCATCGTAAAGCAAGAGAAGCCCCTTATGGGTGTTTTGACTCTCACGTTTATTTATAGATGCAATTGGAGTCCCACAAAGAGTACCAGATAAATTTAAAGGCTGAGATCAAGCGGCTTCAAGACTCGAGTCAATATTTTGGTAGGTGACATTAAGAACGTAGATTTGGGCTTGTCACGGTGGCTCGCACCTGTAATCCCAGCACTTTGGGAAGCCGAGGTGGTGGATCAAGAGTTCAAGACCAGCCTGGCCAAGGTGGTGAAACCGCATCTCAACTAAAAATACAAAAAATTAGCCAGGCGTGGTGGAACACACTTGTAATCCCAGCTACTCGGGAGGCTGAGGCAGAGAATTGCTTAAACCTGGATGGCGGAGGTTGCAGTGGGCTGGGATGGCGCCACTGCACTCCAGCCTGGATGACAGAGCCAGACTCCGTCTTAAAAAAAAAAAGAGAACGTAGATTGGATAAATTACATTTATTGCAACCAACAGTGGTTTATTAACTACACTAGAGATGCTGTTAAAGGAATAGCTGAGCAATTAGGAGCTACTAGCCAGATAGTTGGGAAAATAGCAGAGCTTTAGACATGATATTAGCAGAAAGAGGACTTTGCATCATGATTAAAACTCAGTGTTGTACCTTCATCTCAAACGATACCTCCCCGATGGAAGTTTAACAACAGGATTGCAAGGTCTAACTGCTCTGTCCCAACCTAGGGATAAATGACCCCTTCACAAGGTGGCTAGAAAAACGGTTCGGTGAGTGGAAGGGAATCATAGCCTCAATTCTTTCTTCTCACAGCCCTGTAGTGGATGTACGCATTCTGGTTGGGTGTCGCAAAGACTCACAAACGCAGCACTTACTAAAACCTCCCTTAACTCTCCTCCACCTTATTCAGAGAAGCTGAATAAGCTAGGCTAATTAACTAAGCCAAGACATGTTAAGGAAGTTTGAAGAGAAAGAGCTGTAAAAAAAAAATCCAACGGGAGAGAATTGTTGGATACAGTCAGTTCTGAATTTCTCTTCAAAGAATCAATGTGTCAGTATGTTTAGTTCTTTGTCCTCCATTTTGAAGTTCAACTTCTTCATCGTTTAAGTAAACCACCTTTTCCACCAGTTCTAATCGGTAGTTCACATCGGTTCCGCCAGTCATCTGCTCCATCCTGATTCACCCTGATCACCTGCTCTGACCTGAGTCACCTTTAGTTCCCTGTTCTGTAACTGTCCTTCCTGCCAAGCTGCTCACCCGACCACTCTGGCTCATACTCCTGCTCCCTTTAGCTTTCAACTCTTTATCATTTAAAATACATTTCATAACGCTATTGCTGCCATAGATAGTGATTCCTCTGATGGGTCCAGGCAAAGTCAATTGGAAACGTTGAGGAAAGCATTCACCATTCTGTATTCCATGAAGAACACTTGTGATTCATGAGAGGAGGTCAAAATATCAATATTAATAGGAATTTGGAAGAGGTGGATTCTAACCTTCATGGATGATCTTGAGGGGTTTTCTATTTCACTGGAGGAAGTAACTGCAGATCTGGTAGAAACAGCAAGACAGTTAGAATGAGAAGTGGAGCCTGAAGATGTGACTGAATTGCTGCAACCTTATGATCAAACTTGAGTGGATGAGGAATTGCTTCTTGTGGATAAGCAAAGTGTTTTAACTTTTAGGTTGGGGGGTACACGTGAAGGTTTGTGACATAGGTAAACGTGTGACGGGTTTGTTGTACATATTATTTCATCACCCAGGTATTAAGCCTAGTACCCAATAGTTACGTTTTCTGCTCCTCCCCCTCCTCCCACCCTCTCCCTTTAGTAAACCCTAGTGTCTGTTCTTCCCTTCTTTGCGTTCATAATGTCTTATCATTAACCTTCCAGAAAGTGGTTTCTTGAGATAGAATCTACTCCTAGTGAAGTTGCTGTGAACGTTGTTCAAATGACACTAAAGGATTTAAAATATTATATAGAAGTTCCACAAAAAAAGTCTTTCGTGAAAGGAAGAGTCAATTGATGTGGCAAACTTTATCATTATCTTAATTTTAAGAAACAGTTGGGGCCGGGCGCGGTGGCTCAAGCCTGTGATCCCAGCACTTTGGGAGGCCGAGGCGGGTGGATCACGAGGTCAAGAGATCGAGACCATCCTGGTCAACATGGTGAAACCCCGTCTCTACTTAAAATACAAAAAATTAGCTGGGCGTGGTGGCGCGTGCCTGTAATCCCAGCTACTCAGGAGGCTGAGGCAGGAGAATTGTTTGAACCCAGGAGGCGGAGGTTGCGGTGAGCCGAGATCGCGCCATTGCACTCCAGCCTGGGTAACAAGAGCGAAACTCCATCTCAAAAAAAAAAAGAAAAGAAAAGAAAAGAAAAAAAGAAACAGTTGCAGCCAAACCAACCTTCAACAATCCTACCTGATCAATCAGCAGCCATCAACGCTGAGGCAGGACCCTCAGCCAGCAAAAAGACCATGACTCACTAAAGACTCAGGTGACTGCTGGCATTTTTTAGCAATAAAGATTTATTTTGTTTGTTTGTTTGTTGTTGTTGTTGTTGTTTGAGACAGAGTCTCACTCCGTCACCCAGGCTGGAGTGCAGTGGCACGATCTTGGTTTACTGCAACCTCTGCCTCCCAGGTTCAAAGGATTCTCCTGCCTCAGCTCCTCCAATAGCCATGATTACAGGCGCACACCACCACGCCTGACTAATTTTTGTATTTTTATTAGAGACAGGGTTTCCCCATGTTGGCCAGGCCAGTCTGGATCCTGACCTTGTGATCTGCCCACCTCAGCCTTCCAAAGTGCTGGGATTACAGGCACGATCCACCTCGCCTGGCCAGCAAGAAACTATTTTTAAATTTAAGTATGCACATTGTTTTTGACGTAATGCTATTGCACAGTTAATAGGCTATAGCATACTATAAACATACATTTTGTATGCCCTGGGAAACCAAACAGTTTGGGTGACTCGCTTTATCAAGATACTTGCTTTATTCTAGAACCGAACCTGCAATGCTCACAGTATCTTCAAGGCTTGCCTATATATTGCAAGCACTGTTTCGCTCTCCCCAGCGGTTGTGAAATCTTTAGGGGCAAAGACCCTGCCTGGTCATTCTGTTTTCTCAGTTCCTAGGTCCCTAGTACTTGCTTAATATATACGGGCTGGACCAGACTCAACAAGCTTTTCTCTTGGGTTCTGCCAATATTTAGTCACCACAGGAAGTTCATTCCCACTGAGCATTTAAAACGCCAACTTAGGCCTTACCCTACTTCCTTAACCCGTGTCGTACTGTTTTCTCCTGTATAACAGGAGAGAAACGGTGCCTACTGAAAGGTTTGTTGTTAGATTAGGTGACTCGGAGGGTAGGAAAGCATTTGGTTGACTCTAACACAAAGTACAGATGTAAACTATGACTGTTACTGTGGCAGACGTTGCAGTTAATAGTTGGACACTAAAATCTGGTCTTCCCTTTTTCCACAGGAAGAGCATTGTCATTGGGCTCAGGGAGAGACTGCACTTCTTGTCTGCTTTGCTGCGAGTGCGACCTTGTGGCCAAGTGCAGATCGTGTGCAGTGATGACAGTACAGCTTCCAGGCCATCCCAGCACGAAAGATCAGCCCTCATCCTGCAGCGGTGGTCTTTCCTCTTCATACAGGCTGGAATGTGCATGTGCTCCCACCCAGCACTGACCATGGGAGAAGACAGTGCCTTGCAGTATGGCAGAGCAAAGGTGGAAAGGGCCTGGGTCCTTGAGTGACTTCATGAGCTTTCTCACTATCCCAAACCTTGGGACTACTCTATGACAAGGACTTTCCGTGAGTCACTGTCTTTTGGAGTCTGTTTTAGCTGCCGGCACTTTATCCTGAACAATATGGCTGTTATCATGTGTATATTGTTACTATGAGCATCATCTAAGTAATTTCTACTCTGCCTTTGACCACTAAGCTCATGTTGGACAAGAGTCACTTAGCATTTTTTTTTCCCCCTCAATGAAGAGATTAAAGATTAAGATGGAGGGAGCAAGATAAATTGAGGCCTGGATTTTACCGGAAGGTGAAGGGCTGTCCTTGGCTTCCATACATTCAGGTAGAATAATTCTAGACAAAAACATTAAGCTCATTTATCAAACCATCTGCTTTGTGAAGCCATGGGCAGAAAAGGTGGAACTGACGTACTGAAATCCTTGCTTTCCTCACTGTGGCCTTTGCTACAGCCTTCTGTGACGTGACACTTATTAACCCGAGTCTACCTGGAAGTCGGAGATGAGGAAGTTTTCCTAGCGTGGAGAAAGTCTAATGCACTTGAAAAAGACTGAGCTCAGCTCAGATTCCAGTTCCATTACTCAGCAGTGAAGGCACGTCATCTTCCCAGGCCCTTTTTATTTTCCCATCTGCAAAATGAGGACGCTGGTCTCTGTGTCCAAGCGTTGCTAGGAAGATCACATACCACTGAGACACAAGGTGGGTGTAGCGCAGTCCTGGGCATTTTGTGCACCCCCAACAAATACCGATTTCTTTTTCCTTGCTCAGAAAAAAATTGGAGAAGACTTTATTTTAAAATTCTGCTTGAATGACTTTATTTATGTATTTAGACAGTCTTGCTCTGTCCTCAAGGCTGGAGTTGCAGTGGCGCCATCTCAATTTACTGCAACCTCCGCCTCCTGGGTTCAAGCAATTCTACTGCCTCAGCCTCCCGAGTAGCTGGGCTTACAGGTGTCCACCACCACACCTAGCTAATGTTTGTGTTTATAGGAGAGATGGAGTTTTGCCATGTTGGCCAGGCTGGTCTTGAACTCCTCCTCTCACATGATCACCCACCTGGGCCTCCCAAACTGCTGGGATGACAGGCGTGAGACACCACACCCAGCCCTTGAATTACTTTAGATTCTACCTTTTAAGAAAATATTTGGCTGGGCGCAGCGGCTCACGCCTGTCATCCCAGCACTTTGGGAGGCTGAGGGGGCAGATCACCTGAGGTCAGGAGTTCAAGGCCAACCTGGCCAACATGGTGAAATCCCTTCTCTACTAAAAATGCAAAAATTAGCCAGCCGTGGTGGCAGGTGCCTGTAATCCCAGCTACTCAGGAGGCTGAGGCAGGAGAATCACTTGAATTCAGCGGGGTAGAGGCTACAGTGAGCCAAGATAGCACCACTGCAGTCCAGCCTGGGTGACAGAGCAAGACTTTGTCTTAAAAAAAAGAAAGAAAGAAAATATTTGACGCTCTTTCTAGACTGTATGTGGTTTATAAATAAAGTTTACAAGTGCTTTTACGCTCCTTCCAGATCACATTATTTTTCTGATCCCGAGAGGTGTGTGTGTGTGTGTTTGTGTGTGTGTGTAGTTAACTCATTATGAAAGAGAAGGTGATAAAAGACAGCAGTCCTTAGGGTCTGAAAGCAATACTGGCATTGATGCGAGGAGGCAAGGAAAAGGGAAGGTACTAGGTAATTCTGACGATCTTAAGGCAGATGAAAGCTAGCTTGGGAAAGCCACCATCAGTTTTGAACAAGATGGGGAAGCTTAACGGCCCAGGAGGTCTCGCAAAATGAGGGTGTTCTGATGGCACCCTAAAGTCTCCGTGTCCGCAGCCACAGGCAGATCATTTCCAGGGCCACACAGGATCCAGAAGGTTCCAGGTGCTGGGGAGATGCTTGGTGCTCCCCCACTCCGCTTCTCCTCCTCCCGTTTCTCCCTTTCTCTTCCCTTTTTCTCTCCCCCCTTTCTCCGTTTTCATGCAGCCTCCTTCCCCCAAGTCTGTCACTCTCTTAGACACACACACATACTCTCCTTTGCACTCAAATCAAGGTCTAGGCTGGGAGCAGCAGCTCATACCTATAATCCCAGCACTTTGGGAGGCCGAGGTGGTAGGATCACTTGAGGTCAGGAGTTCGAGACCAGCCTGGCCAACATGGCGAAACCCTGTCTCTACTAAAAATACAAAAATTAGCTGGGCGTGATGGCACACGCCTGTAGTCCCAGCTCTCTCGAGGCTGAGGCTTGAACCCAGGAGGCGGAGGTTGGAGTGACCCTAGATCACACCACAGCACTCCAGCCTGGGCAACAGAGCCAGAACCTGTCTCCAGAAGAAAAAAAAAAAAAACAAGTCACTGGAGGATGGTAAGCCACCCAGGGACACTGAGGATGGTTAGCTGGAGATAAAGGATGAAAACTAGGAGAAGGGCATTTAGTGTTTTAAGAAAGAAAATGGTTAGGGGGGTCCCAAATGTTACTGAAAGGACAAGTAAGATGAAGATTTTACAGAATCTCTTGGAATCAGAAAGGAAAAAAGCAGTCAGTGGTGACCCTGGAGGAAGCCGTGTGGAGAAGGGAGAGTTGGGTTTTGGAGCCTCTTGCAATGAACTGGGAAGTGAGAACAAGAGGGGCTATAGAACATGTGTAAGCAACTTGCAGAAGTTTGGAAATGCAGGCACGCGGGCCTGTCGGGTGGGGGTGAGGGGAGGGCGAACATTAGGAGAAATAGCTAGTTCATGTGGGGCTTAAAATCTCGCTGACGGGTTGATAGGTGCAGCAAACCACCAAGGCGCGTGTATACCTGTGTAACAAACCTGAACATTCCGCACGTGTCCCAGAACTTCAGGAAGAAAAAAAAAAAAAAAAAAAAAAAAAGGGAAAGAAATCTAGGGTGAACAATGAAGGCTGAAAATTAGAACGTTAAACTCATTCCCTAAATTTTGTCGAGACTGTCTATGCTTTCCAATTGTTAAAAACCTGAGTGGAAAAAAATTGTCATTTTTTTTTTTTACTTCTGATTGTATTCTGCTTAAGTAGGAAATCTTAAAACAATCATTAAAACCAGCTGGGTGCAGTGGCTCACACCTGTAATCCCAGCATTTTGGGAGGCCGAGGCGGGTGGATCACCTGAGGTCAGGAGTTCAAGACCAGCCTGGCCAACATGGTAAAACCCTGTGTCTACTTAAGACAAATACAAAAATTAGCCAGGTGTGGTGGCACATGCCTGTAATCACAGCTACTTGGGAGGCTGAGGCAGGAAAGTCACTTGAACCCGTGAGGTGGAGGTTGCAGTGAGCTGAGATTGTGCCATTGCACTCCAGCCTGGGTGACAAGAGTAAAACTCCATCTCAAAAAAAAAATAATTAAAATATCATTATCACATGTCTATTCCCCCTCCCCCCACCCCCACAAAGAAGAAGTTGGGCTGACAATCAAAGTTTAGAAACTAGAAGAAAACTAGAGAGGGCAGTGGGGTGAAAGGGTGAGTTATTTCATTCTTGTTTAAGTGGGAAATCTCTGGGCATGTTAAAATGCAGAGGGAAAGGATCTACGGAGAAGCCAAAGAGAAGGGGAGAGAGGCATCCTGAAAGGTGCCACTCTTGCGAAGGTGAGCGCCTCTGGGACAGGAGGCACAGCAGCGGCATTAACCCGGGAGCGAAGAGGCAAGGAAGCTCGCAGGTGCGGGCGAGTCCGAGGAACAGCGTTCCCTTCCTTCATGCCAAGCGATGTGCCGCTTTCCTATTCAATGTGACTCGTCGGACACTTGGTTCACCTGTGAGCTGGTGATACAAGCGGGTGTGAATCTAAGGCTCTTACAGCATTGGAAGTCGGAGAGACAGATAACCATGATCGGAGCTAATATTTCTGGAGCTAATATTTAGGGACTCTGGGTGATGCAGTCATAGCACTGAGTTCTCACAGCATCCCCAGGAAGTGGGCAGGAGGGCGATTCTGTTTTAACAGATGAAGGAAAGGCGGTGTAGACAAATGAAACTACTTGTCCTGGGTTAGAACTGTGGGACTAGAATGAACACTCCGAAAAAGGACTCTTGGACCTGTGCTCGTCAAGGAGACACCGTGCTTTTTGCTCTGCTTGTTCACAAACCACGTCTCCGAGAAACCATTGGCCACAACGCCGTGCGCCTGGTGGCAGCAAGGTTCCAGGGCCGTTCTGATTTAGTGTCCCTGTCTTCTCGTCAGTGAAGGCGATTTGTTTGCTCTCTCTCCAGCCTCTCTTCGTCTGGCAGGCTCCTGCTCAGCCCTTGTCGTCTAGCCCGGGTTAGCCTGTGGCCTCCTCTGCAAAGCTCGTCTTGTGCTTTAAGCTCTCTTGATTTTTAATTATAGTTGTTTCCCACACCCCAAACTGGGGCACAAAGGATTTGTTTTAATTTAGGAATTGTGTGGGAAATCTTACAAAAGGCTCATGGAGAAGATGATAGAAGCTTTTTAGCTCCAGCCGGAGCCTCTCCCCTGAACTCTAGATTCATCTATCCAGCTGCACCTCTATTTGGGTGTCCGATAGACATCTCAGACTTCAAAGCCTGAACCCCTGATCTCAAGCTTTGACTCTACCTCCCCTGTCTGCTTTTTGGCAGTCTCTCCGTCTTGGTTAATGGCATCCCTATAATTCCAGGGGCATGGGGACAAAATCTCTCCTTCTTTCAGCTCTCCTTCTCTCAGCAAACCCCATTTGGCTCTTCCTCCAAGCTACGCATGTTCATGATCCAGCCATGTGATGAATTTTATGTGTCAACATGGCCAGCAGTACCCAGATATTCGGGTCAGCACTAGTCTAAATGGTACTGTGGAGATACTGCTTTTAGATGAGAATTTAAATCTGTGGGCTAGGCATGGTGGTTCATGCCTATATTCCCAGCACTTTGGGAGGCCAAGGCAGGCAGACCATTTGAGGTCAGGAGTTCGAAACCAGCCTAGCCAACATGGTGAAACCCCGTCTCTACTGAAAATACAAAAATTAGTCGGGCATGGTGGTGGGTGCCTGCAATCCCAGCTACTCAGGAGGTTGAGGCAGGAAAATTGCTTGAGCCCAGGAAGTGGAGGTTGCTCCAGCCTGGGTGACAGAGTGAGACTCTGTCTCAAAAATAAAAAAATAAATAATAAATAATACATAAATCTGGAATATGTTCCTCACGTCAGGCTGGCTGTATCACACTGGAAACTTCCAACTTTTTTTTTCAATCACAGCTTC